ACACAAATACCACGTGATTTAGAAGCCGGTTCTCTTGTTGTCTCTGAGTCCGGTCCTAGGTTCTAAGTAGTTTAAAATAAGTCGACTCAAAAACCTACAAAGCTGAGCTTTTTAACATTCCTAATGATCGGATAATCCAGCCGTTCCATTCACTTGTAAATTACCATCTGACAAACCATTTACATATTCCCTTTGCTTCCATGGGAATTGGGTGCTCATATCGAAAGAAGAGAACCCAAAAACATTAGATGGTTGGAATAAAGATTGATTATTTTGTTGATTATGTCTGTGTAAATCGAATGCACTTGATTCAGATGAAAACCCAGGCGGTGGATTGATAGCTGATAAGCTAGATTTCGCAGAAGTATGTCCAGACGTTCCCGAAAAACCAAGAAGGCTAGTATTGGGATCGCCAAATAAACCAAATTGAGAAACACCACCATCAGTTCCTGGAAACGCAAACAATGATGCGCTTGAAATAGCGGTCGCCTGTTGATGTGGCGTAATTGAATTAAATTCTCCGGACAAACGTTTTGTAGAAGGCACAAGAGGATCCTGTGAAGCATTTGGCACTCCAGAAATAGCGGTATGCGCGGGGAATACCGTTTGAGAGTATGCACTAATGTTGCCGTTTAGATTAGTTGAAGGCCTAGTCACGGGGTATAAAAACTCTAAAAAATTTTGCTGCTTTGTTTCAACGTTTTCGACGTTTAAGTTATTGCTGTTTGGAAATAATTGGGTGGTATTAAACTGATTCCAGTGATTAGTTGAATTGGTAATTGGTAATGTTGAAGATGTTGATTTGTTAGATTTTAAAACTTGAGTCAATAAGACTTCAGCAGTAGTAGGACGTGGAGAGGATTTTTCAGAATTAGCCAAGTCACTAAGCAATTAAAAAGTTTGATAAGTTTAAATCAGATTCAGATACATATTCCGACATAAATAAAATTTCCTTATTCGTACTTCGCATTGTTGTTCTCAATAACAGAAGAATGTCTTCCTGTAAATAAGATCACTTCATCTTCTGAATCACCATCTTCGGAAGAATCATTAGTTAGTTTTTTGGGGCTACTGGATGCAAAGGACTGGGACTCGGCTAAATTAGTCTCGTAATGATCCGCGATTAAATCAGTAATAGGAACTTCGACCTTGTCCTCAACATAAGATTGGTCTGCAACTTGATTTTGGACGGGGCTCAAAGAATTAGCAGGAGATGCAGCCTTGCTAGGTGGTGCACCTGAACTAAATACACCATCAACATAGAATAATTGGGAATGCTGAAAATATCAAATTTAAGAGCATTAATAACGTATAGTTAGAAAAATGCTTATAATAACGTTAACCAACCTCTGATTCCGAAATCTTGCAAGCATCTTCAAATATGTCATAGATGCGCATGTCTAATTCTTCAAAGGGCTCCCCTTGATTAAGTAAAATCTGTTCATTCATAAAGGTATGATTTTTTAAACCTGAAAATCCGGTCAATTCAAGATCTTCTGCTAGCGGAACATCAAGAGGAATGCCTTGACTATGAGGGAACAAGCGTTCCAAAGAATTAAGGAATTCAGCAAACCGTTGCCAAAACATAGCGATGTTTGTGAACTCATTTTTGACATTAGGATCTTTTTCAATCAATGCGGTTATTGATGACAGATGTTCAAGGGAAGAATAAACCCATTTTGTTCCCACACGAAGAGATATCAAACTTCTTTTAACAGGAGCCGGAAGAATTTGAACTGCATTGTGCCTTTGATCCGAGTATTCAACCACAACATCTAACAACTCAGAGTTACACACATCCAGTAAAGTGGAAAGTGAATCCAAAGTTAATAATATGGCGTATTTTTCTACAAGGGCTTTTTTAGAGGCTGTAGAATACGAAATAGTGGCCTTCGGACTTTGATTAACATGGTTACTATCTCCTAATAGGATGAATTATAGAAAAGATTATAATTTGTAAAATTGTAACTTGCAAATATGAGAATGTGGTAAAACACAACAAACCATTTGCAATATGTCGAATGACGAATGAGGCTGCCATATTAATAGCCGTAAATTTTAAGAGCTGATCAGGGTCCAATGCGAGAGAAAGAACACTTTCTCTCAGTTGATTCAGCAAAGCTGCTTTCAATTCGGAATACGATTCCAAACTATAAAATGAATTATGTTAATTTTAACAATAATATCCTTATTAAAGCTTGGTTAACAATTAATAATACTATGAAGTGTATATATACGCACTCCGTTCTAAAGTACAAAATGCTATGCAAACGAATAAAATCGGAAAAAAAGGCCTGTGTAGCTTCACCGGTTCGAATTTTGGCTGATTGCGCTGCAGACGATGTTTGACGCTGATGAGAAAATCGTCGTCTACTACCATTTTCTTTCTGGTCTCTTTGAGGGGTCTCTTGTCCTTTTTCTTGAGCATCAGCAGAAGACTTTCTAGCCTTATGAAACAAAAGGCTAATATTGTCCTTGGCTGTCAAAAAAGGACATCTGACAACAAGACTCCGATAATAATGGTATACAGCGGAAAATTCATCTGCACTGTAGGTTGCGATTACGGCTAATTGATTATGTGGATTACCTAGGAAGTTCATAAAATCGAAATGCTGGTCAATAAATTAATCTATAACATTTTTAGCATTGTTAAAAATACTAACCACTTTCAGGGACTAAATGTCTTGCATGGTTATAGTAATCACACGCAATAGACCAATTTTTACGTGGTTTCTCAGTTTGCAACTCCCGATAACGTGCTTTATTATAATAAAATAATTGGATCAAAATTGATAAATATAAACCAAAATAATGTTAATACAACATACCTAAATCACCGAGAAATATAAGACTTTTATGACAACTAAGTACAGCTTTCTGCTTAATATCATC